CCGGCTCCGGCTCTGAATCCGAGGGTTCCCTGGTGTCCAGGAGAAGGTGGCTGCTCCTTCGCTGGTATTCGGTGCTGTCAGCATCCCAGCCCCTTCCCCGGAGCAATCGCTCCCGACCCTCCCCACCCCGCACCAGGGCTTAGCGGGCACTGCGCCCTCCCCCGGTGCCCACTGTGCGTGCTAGTCTGTAAGAGCATCTGTGTGCTTCCACCGCTGGGGCGGACGCGCGCTGGCCGGAAGCATCTGCTACGTTGCCAGGGCCAGCACCCCGCCAACCTTGCCGAGGGGATGAACGAGCGCAAGCCTGTCCTCAGCCTGCCTGAAGGCCTGCTCTTCCCGGACAAACCCGATGCACCCGCCTGGGGCCCAGCTCAGGACGCTGGCCTTGCTGGGACCTCCCCATCTCCACTACGGTTAGGACCCGCCCAGCGCTCCAAGCCCCGTGCAGACGCCACCTGCCAGCGCCTTCCTTGCCTTCCCTGCGGGATGTACAGCTTCCTTCGGGGCCGCACGCCCCACCTCGCATGCATTCTATGATGTTTTTGTGACACTTAAGACTTATTCTGCTTTTAAGAAGTCAGAGTCATAGTCCAGATCTTGGCATCCACAGATGTGCGTTGAGGAAAATGAGTCACGCTGCCCTCCCTGTCGCCGCTCTGCCCGCTTTTGATGGCATGTGCTTCAAAGGCCTGGGTGGATCGCTTTTCGGCTTTGCGAGCCCAGCAGGTTTGGCGTGTGGTGGGCGTTCAGTAAAAGGATCACGAAGGAAACAGATGCAGGGTGGATCTCCTCTGTCGGAACCGGCCTGGCTTGGGGACCGAGGACCCACGCCATCCTTTTGGGAGAAGACTCTCCTTTTGTTCCTGCCCCTGGGGAAGGCCACGGGGTCCTTGAAAGTTCATAGCACCGGGCAGCCACCCCACTGGCTCCAGAGGCCTGCACCCCCTGCCTCTGCTTCTCTGATGCAGGGAAGAAAAGGCGTCAGGTCACAGGGACCAGTGAGCAGGCAACGGGAGGTGGCCAGGGAGGCCGTGAACTTTCCTTCCTCACTTCCTTGACACAGGCAGGGCTGAGGGCGCAGACCGGGAAGGGGCCTGTGAGTGCCCAAGGAGCCAGGCGCTCTACCCACAGCCACTTACGAGGTCCCCCATCCACCCCCCGCCCCCTCCTCATCCGCTCCCCTCTCCCTCCCCGGCTTTGCTGCGCTCTGGAGTCACACCCCATCCAGCCTTGGGCTGCTCGCTGAGTGAGCTGGTCGACGCCTTTTTCTTAAAGTCTTGCCGGTTTCACGTGGGTCCAACAAAGAGCTTTTAGTTTATTCTTGTTTCCATCATTCTGGTCAGTATTTCTGATAAGCCGTCTTGGTCGGTTGTTCATTAGCCATTTTTGTTTCTAATCTTGCTTCAGCAAAAAGATTGTTTTTAGTTGGACGTTTTGTGGCGTAAATCCATTGTGAGAAACCTTTGCCTGTGTCCTCATTTCTCATCAAAATATTTTTAGAACATGGTCAGGGGATCGGATGAAAGGCCCCTGAAAAATTGTGACACTTCTTAATAGACTCGCGAGGTAGGGAGAGGGATTCTTGTCCAAAGCACGTATTTCAAACAGAAAACACCGTGAGGACAGGGACCTTTGGGGACTGCGCGGCTGAGGCGGGAGGGGCGTTAGCGGCCCACCTAAAACACCAATGTGCTTTGTAACTGAAAAACCCAGCACCTCGCTTTTGAGCATGGGTACGTCTGATGTTCCTGAAATTCTCCTCGACTTCTGAGAAGAATAAAGAAGATTGGGGCTGGGAGCATGGCCCGGACTGTTCATGTCACCTTCCCTACCGGAGACAGACAGGACAGCTGTCAGATTCTGCCTGAACCTCACCTTGGACCTCACTTTTCTCGGGAAAGGGAATGGGGGTGCTTCTATCAGAGAGTCTTTCATGTTGGCTGAGGCAGCTGCCCGAGATATTTTGGCTTCAGCTTTAGGTGGCCTTTTTCCAGGCAGGAGCCCGGCATGACAGTGGATCAGCAGGTGCCACCAAACCAGTGGGGACCGAATCAGTAGGAGGGAAGTTATGAAGATAATAATCTCTGTAAATTATAACGGGCCGGCCAGTTTAAGCAGGGCCTTACAGGGAGTTCTGCTAACGTTTTCAGCCTGAACTCAGGGCAGGAAAGATGTATATTTATATTATTGTGTGTGTGTGTGTGTGTATATATATATTCTTATGTGTGTACAGGGCAGGAAAGATGTATATTTATATTATTGTGTGAGTATATACATATTCTTGTGTGTGTGTATATATTATATGTGTATATCTATCTATTTTTTTACCCATCGCTCACCCTCTCTTTCCTGGATAACAGAAAGGGCAGAACAGGAAAGGGAGGGTCCCCATCGTAGACTCAGCAGTGACCGGCCTGCCAGCGAGCATCCTGGGTGGGCTCAGATGCATACCTTCCCACTGCCCTGCACTTGAGCACCAGATTCCTGCGGTAGCTCCTACCCGAAGGCCTGGGGGATCGACGGAACAATGCCTCCCCCCCACGCCCAGAAGATGCTCTGATCCCTGGCACCTGTGAATGCATTACCTACACGGCAAAGGGACTTCACAGAGTGGAGGTCATGGACCTTGAGATGGGAGATTCTCCTGAATCGTCAGGGTGGGGCTGATCTTTAAAAGCAAAGAGGTTCTGGTTGAGGTCAGAGAGATGGCCGAAGAAGAGGCAGGACAGATTCAAAGCGAGAGGGACCCGGTCCACCGTCACTGGCTTTGAGAAGGAAAGGAGTCGTGAGCCAGGGCGCACCAAGGAAACAGGGACCTCAGGCTTGTAACCCATAAATTCGGTCGACCACCTGACCGAGGCCGGGTGAGGGTTCTCCCCAGAGGCTTCAGGTTAGAGTTCAGCTGGCCAACACCTTGTGGGACCTGGAGCAGAAACCAGGCAAGCCCACTGGCTTTTGACCTACAGAACTGTGTGATGATACATTTATGTTGCTCTAAGCCTCTAAACGTGTGGCTAATTATTACAGCAGCCACAGGAAGCTAATACAGCTGGACACATGCCCAAGGCCCTGGCCTGACGGTGCCAGGCTGTCCCGCAGCCGAGCGCATCTGGATGCTGTAAGGGGCCTGCCACACCCTCGGCAGGGGTGGCTGCCGAACGCCTGGACGCGGAGGACACGCCTGGGTCACACCGTCAAAGGGAAAAGCATCAGGCTGCTGGTGGCGGGTCAGGAGCCATCAACGGCAACACTGTTTGGCTGACATGGTTATGAGTTTTCAAAACCTGGGCCACAAGGGAAACGCGTTGCCTCCACCTGCGAATGACGTTTCAGAGGAAAATAAGCTAAAATTGGCTCTGAGCCAAAGGAGAGGATTTCTCTCCTCTCTCTCTGTTCCACGTGAATCGTTTCCCCAGCAAGGTCGGCGTGCCACTTCGAATTCACTGCCATCCTGTCTTTCTATCATCAACGCTGCCTCCTCCCCTCACGGGGGCATAGCACCCCTGACCGCACAGCCAGAACATGAGCCTGAGCAGCCACGTGTGCTCTAGAATGTTCCGGCACAGCCTGCCCATCGCATACGGTGCCACAGAAAGAAGCCTCCTTGAAATCGCTCCCGCCACGCGTGTAAGCAACGCTTTGGTGTCAAGCCTTCTCTGCTGCACTCCGAACAGCTGGTTTCGTCAGCACGGCACTGCCCAGGGCAGAGTGGCTGACGACCGTGGGTCAAAACACTGAGACTCAAGAGGGCTGAAAGGGGAGGACCCGGACCTCGTAACTAAGTATGATGGAGAAGGAATTAGAAGCTGTCTAGGACTTGCTACCTGCGCTTTCCTGGCGACTCTTTCCAGGATTATGAGGTGACAAGACCCACAAGTTGGAAAGTCTGTAGTGAGCACCCCGAAGACCCGGCAGCCAGAAGCCCAGCACACACAGCTCCTCTGCTCCAGTGGGGTTGTAGGGGGGCATGCCCGAAGGTGCCCTGAGAACCCCGTGAAGCAGCAGGTCGCCCACAGTTCCCAGGCTGGGGCAGCTGCAATGCCTCTGGCTTCCTGGCCGCCCTGCTTAGAGGAGTCCCCGTCACTGACGTCTGTCCATTGAAACACATGCCTATCTCAGTCAAGATGTGCATTCTTTAAGGATCCTCTACCACAGATGATGACTCTTGGGAGTAACAAGGAGTTCAAGTCCAGTTCACCTGGTTACATGAAGAAGATAGAGACCCGGGTCCCAGATGGAGCCAGGTCAGCGGGTCCAGCTGGCTGACGCCACACCAGCTAGTGTAAAACCTAAGGGGACTGGGTGGGGGGAGGGTATGCAAGCACTTAATGGGTGAACATTTTTTTTTTCCAGTTCAAATTCCTATGGCATATGCCTGTATGTACCGTTTGAAAGGATGGGATTATTCCAGATGAGTTGAGACTGACCATCTTTAGTCTATTCTGGGCTGTGAAAAGGTGTTTTGTTCCCACAAATACACATGGGTTATATCGATACTGCTCAGAGGAAGCCAAACTCACTGCCGGACAGAATCCACACAGAGGCTGGGGGATTCCCATCTGGTGGCTGCCCACCAAGATAGAGACCCACACAGTCTCTCAGATCCACACAGGGCCATCCACAAATATTTTCCAGGGACCACTTGCTGTTCAAACTAAAGTCATTTGGAGCTCGCAGGCTTACTTCTCCCCAAACCAACCTGATTTAATGCACATCAATGTGGGTTTCTGGGGGTGGGTAGGAACTCACACTTGGTTTCCTAGCTAAAGAGCACTGCAATTTAAACAGGGCTAAATGAGTCACTGCGAAGTTCAAGCATTCAGATGCCATTACTCATGCAAGTGAATATTAGGGAGCTCTCTGGATGCAGTACAGAACAAAAAGAATACGATTTCTGAGGAGACAAGCCAAGGCACGAGATGAAGAGGTAATTGAGTAGAAGGTTGGTCCCATACTTAACACATCAGCCTCATGAAAAACACAGCAACCAGAAAGGATATCTTGCAGGAGTGTCCTTAAGAGCATTTAGGAATCCTGTTTGCTGAGACCCTGTGGGAATGAAACCAAAATTTAGTATCAGAACATCCATTTCTAGAAAACTGCTTTCATGCTAATGCTCTCATCTACATAACAATAACAGGTGTCTACAGGTCAATTAAATAATTACACTGTGTACGCGCTACAGTAATCTGTATACTGATCCCAGATTGAGATCCCACTAAAGTTATGCAACAGGAAAATAGCAGATTCATAACTAGACCCAACATCTGCAGGATATTTTTTCCATAAAAGCAGATGGATGTCTGCATACTTTCCCATAAATTACGGTTCAGATTACTCTTTTGTTTTCTTCATCTTAATAGGAATACAGAATACTGTATGTAATTTTTTTCTCTTCTTTTATGAAAGGCTATTTTCCCCAGAGTTTGTTAACTTTTGACCCCTAGACGTCCAGAAACTAGGCTATGTACAAAAGACATCTTTCTCGGTGCCCATTGTAAACAAGCTCATAAAGCTGAAGTTTATTACCGACCCCTATTGGGTTTAAGACATTTTAAAATGAACTGTCTGTGCCAGAAGACATTTCTTTAAGGGCTTGAGTAAAGATGCATCTGACAAGAAGCAATTTTTATTTTATGTATTAACATTATGGTTCTTACGACTAAGAGCCCATACAAAGGAACCCTGGAAGCTCCCATGTTGGGGTGGTGATGCCTGGTCTTTGCTGTGCTGCATGAAACCACGTGTTTGGGGACGTGATCTGGCCCTGGGAGCAATGAGATGAATAGGGAAAAGATATAATAGGACTGGTTCTAGTGCCTCTCTATGGCATTGTCTGCCGGTGTGGCTGCAACGTGGGAGTAGACCCCTCTTTGCAACGGACCCATGTCCAGCTACGGGAAGGCTGTGAGTGGGACTGCTCCACATTTTTCCTCGAGTTCCCATGCCCTCTGTGCAGGCCTCCCTCCTCCCTGTGCCCACTGGCCACCACTGAGGCACAAGGATGTGCCATGTGCTAGGATGCCAACTGGTGGGAGATTGAATGCAGAAAGCTTAGGGCTTTCTCATCCTCTCTGCTAAGCCAGGAGGGCAAAGCCAGCAAGCGGGCTGCTGCAGACCTTAGAGCAAACACAATCTTGAGGCAAAATGAGGAGAGCAGAAGCAATGACTTCCTTTTCCTACTGTGCCCAAACTGCATGGATTCCCAAACTCTCCTTCCTCTTCGAGGAATTCCAGACCTCGGCTTGCCAGGAATCTCTGCGGTAACAGAATTCTCGCTGCATCTTCCCCTCCCAGTCCTGCCCTGGCAGGAAGAACTCAGGTGACAGTTCCCCAGCTGCTCTCAAACAGCCCTCTGCCTTTGTCAATGTCTTCGGAATCTTAGGGGGATCATGGGAACCACGTAAGAAACTCTGTCCTTCCTGAAAGCATCACCCGCCAAGCCGAATGGGGGGCGGGGGCAGGGTTGTTTAGTGGGGGCGTTTGGGAGGGGTGCAGAACGAGCCGAGAGGAACACTTTTATTTGCTTTTGTCCAAAATGTTCAGGTGACTTTCAGCAGATCAATTCTGAATGTTTTCTTGGTGGAAGATTAGATTAGCAATATAGAAGCATAAACCATAGCAGATTAAGTTTGCTCAAGCCAGAGTGAGTGAAACTTTAGAGGTGAAAAGTGAAATGTATATCACAACTGTGGTGGCAAGCGGCTGAACTCACCATACGTGTGTGTGTGTGTGTGTGTGTGTGTTTCTCCAGAGTTTGTGTGTGTGGATGAGCAAATGAAAGTTGGCCCTTGATATCCAGAATGTAGGGGCAAAGCCATAAATACAATGTGATACTATATACAGGAAAGCATTTTGAAGTTACTAAAGATGATATAGCAATGAAATGTTTAGACACTGTTTTTTGGCGTCATAGATAATAGGCTGGAATATCACTACTTCTTTCTTCCATAGTTGTGTACACGATTGCTTCTTCTCTCTGATTCTTTCGTCTGTTAATGCACAGATAAGACCCTGGCTGCGTTTGCCATTTCGCGACTCTGAAAGGAGAGAGCGAGGTGCCTCTGCAGACGCGCACTGGTATCGTGCCCGCTTTCCTGGGAAAGGTCTCTAATGACTGTCAATCTCTTTCCCACCAAGTTATGGCTTTCAAGCGTATGTTACAAATTTGTGTGACGTTTAGATGAAAGGCTTTCGGTCAGAAAGAATAAGAACTAGAACTTAAAATGCCTATCAAAATTTGGGATACTCCATTTAATGTTCAAAATTGGCCAATATTTAAAAAGAATTAACGCGAAACTTTCCATACCACCCACTTCCCCTGGGCCCCATATGAACTCCAACCAAAAGAGAAGGGGAGGAAAATCTTCCTAATGATCCTTAGCATACCCTATTTGTGGTTTGAGCACTGCTTCATGGGAAGAAAGTGAGGCATGTACTTAGATACTTTCTAGAACATTCCAGAAAGAGGCTCTGTACTTGCTGATGGGTGGTTGTACTTGAGGCAGGTGGAAAGCAGACACCACTGGTCTTTCATGTCGCTAATGGCACTGTGACAGAAGTTTAAAGGCTTAAATATATAGTTCAGAGCCAATTAACTTCCTCCTCATCACTTCCTATTATAGGAAAGTGAGTGGCCCAGAGACAAAAGAAATTCAGTTACGACCTTCGGAATAGGGAATGAAAAATGCCATTTACTCAGGCAAGTATATACTAAAGTTGTTTATATCCAAATCTCATTTTTAATCAAGTATCTGTCTTCATATGCCAGGGGTAATTTGCTAATGTTCTAGCAGTTCACTAAACTTCTTACCAAATGTATGTTGTTAACATACGTAGGTTTATGTGTAAGAAAACCCAGTCTTCACTCCCAGACACTCCCCCCTCCCCCGCCCCAGGGAGAGTGACTGCTCCTGCTTAAGTAGATCTCATATTAAAAAATAAAAAAAAAGCTCTACAGTTCTATGTGGATCGCTGTGGCACGGTATCCTTTGTGCAAAATGTGGGGGATGATTCTTCCAGAGAATTCCTTAGCAGAAGAGAAAGTGAAGTCACTGAGGTTAGACTAGGGACAAGTGTAACAAGGAAAAAAGTCTCATCTGTTAGAGAGAGCCTGACCTGGGTGTGACCCTGGCAGCTGCCGTTGGAAGGATGGGGCATGGGGAATGGAAGGGAGGATGAGAGGGACGGAGGAACGAAACAGGGGTCAGGCTGCAAATGAGGAAGGGGACGGGGGAGGAGAGAGAGAAGAAAGAGAAAGCCCGGAATGATCAAAATCTCAAATCAAAATTAAATCAGAAAACCAAAGTCAGGCAAATGGTTACATACGTGATCTGATTTCGCCAGCATACTTACGAAGAATGACGTGGGTGATAACGAATGCAAATATAAAGACTGTCAGAAAAGACAGAGATAAAATAAACATATAAAAAAATCTGTAGTTTCTTTTCCCCACACAGTTGCCTACCCAGGGACAGTGGTGATCAAACCGTTCTGCAACGAGAGAGAAAAAATATGGAAATCATTTAATCAGGTGTCTTTCTACACCAGAGCCTCTCCCTTGCCACCCAATACGCTGATCATATAACCATGATATCATATTACATATTTCCAAATTAACACTCAGAGAAATGCTGAACAGTAAGACATTTCAAACATATATTCTTTTAACAGAACTTCACTATTTTGAGGAAACAGAGTAGACATTTATTCTCATGATAATCAGAAAAGTAAAAGCTCGATTCTTCTTTTAAAAAAAGAACAAAAAAAAACCCTGGTTCACAGAACAGTCTTCCCTTAAGACGCCGGCACCTCTGAAGTTCAGTGCTGAGCTGGGAGCCACTAGGTCTCCACCCTTCATGGGCGTGTAGAATTGAGTGACTGCTTCTCATGGTAAGTGGCTACGGAGACAGGTTCCAAGGAGTCTGGGACGGGATAGAGGGACCATCCCTGGTTCTCCCAATCCAGTCACAACTGCTTCCTGAGGAATGCCTCTGCTATTTCAATAGTCGCAGGAGGATGGATATCATTTTTATTTTTTATTTATTTTTTTAGGCGAGGCAACCCTTGGTTGACCTCGCAGATGGCAAGGACCGTGTCAGCTTGCAATCCCTTATTTTTTATTTATTTTTTACACCTACAGCACCTGGTCTTCCTAGGTGGTCTCCTATCCAAGGACTAACCAGGCCTGACCCTGCTTCGCTTCCGAGATCAGACGGGATCGGGCTTGTTCAGGGTGGCACGGCCGTAGACTGGATTGATATCATTTTTAAAAGTGAACTACGATCTTCAAGTGCAGTGTATCCCATTGGGTCTTTCAGCCCACAATTCTCAGCTCCCTGACCTATAAAACAAGAGTACTTTATGGAGTGCTCGTGGGATTAAACAGAATAATGTCTGAGAAGGCATTTTAAAAAAACGTACAGGATGCTTTAGAGTGTGTTGAGAGAGGTCACAGACACGCACATACTTGGCCCTGAAACGTTCAGGACAAGGGTGATGCTGCCTTATTTTACGGGCGAGCCAACCGAGGCGTGGCGAGAAGGGAGACTGTTCGCATGGGGCCACACGGCTCAGGAGCCGTGGAACTAGAACTTGAAAGCAAGTCTTTCTCAGGGCTGAGCCCGTCTTCCCAATGCACGGGCTGCCTCTAGCACTTTGGAGGTGACCGAGCACTGGCGCTGGGCATCTTATACTGTCACTCCATGATATGCTAAGGACAAATCCACTTCTAGCCTCGGGAATTTCACATGACCTCTGTAGTGCGTTTATGGTTTGCTCTTCCCTGCGCAAGTCATGGCTACGTGCTTCTGCTCTGTACTGCTCGGCTGGTCTTCTGTTCGGGAGGACGATGGAGAGGGACATTCGAAAACACCCACCCACCTTGGACTGCCCGTGTGGGGATGGTGGGAGTCGGGGGTGGGAGGTGCCAGGCATACGACATAGCTTTTTGACTAAATTTGACTAAATTTGACTAAATTTAGTTCTGCCCAATTTTCGCATTTTATCTATCCATGTGTACCCTGAGACACATACAGAGAGGGCTACATGAGATGTGACCGCGTAAGTCAATTTCATCACTCTCTGATCCCCTATCAGAAATCAGTCACTTCACGTTTTATGTCTACTATAAGCTTATTTCTTGGAAAGGGCATGAGGCCGCCTGGAGGTGGTGGCGGCAGAGGAACCGTAAGATTCACTGTGGTCTGCAAGTGACATTAACAAGAAACAGTCCGAGCAGAGGACCTGGAGAGAAATTTCAGAGCTCACTGTCCTGGTGATAAGCTGGCGGCCTATAAGATGTTGACACTCGAAGGAAGGGAATTCCAATTAATGTCCCCACATGAGTTACATGTTCCCGTGCGCTGCCAGCCTGCAGAGTTGGAAGGGTGAACCCCAACCTCATTCCCCCACAGCACAGGCTGTCCAACGGAGAAGTCCACACAAAGAAGCACAAAATGGAAACAAATCTGAACCAGCCAGATTTTCCTAAGACCCCGAGGCTGTCTTTTGAGAGGCCGTCTTTTCTTTCTGATACGTGAGTGTAGAAAATGGGGTGAGGAGTGGAGGCTGGGGCCCAGAGGCACATAGTGGGATGGAACCTCTGCCTCCAGCTGTCAAAGCCCATTTCCGAACCCCAGATGTGTGGTGGACGAGCCTGTATCTGAAGTGCAAATCGCCAGCAGAAAGGAGACACGGGGCTTGGGAGGCGTGATTCACGCTGTGGGTCCCCACGCAAAGTGCCGAGGACTTGGCAGCCCGCTCGGGGTCATTTCTGCGCGGGCAGAAGGCAGTCGTGTCATGAGCTTAGGAAGTTTCCTATTAGCTAAGCTGTGACACTGTGCCTTCCTGAGGGGGACAACCGGAGTCGTGAAAGCAACAGCGGATGCGACGTTGACACCGTGCTCGAGGACGCCTCAGGCCTGGCTCTCTGGCAGCCGTGACCCGAAAGCAGTTTCCATTTAGAAACCTGTCTGATTAAAAAAAATTTTTTTTTGGCCGATGAAAATCCCCCCAAGAAAGAAGGCTCGCTGAGCGATGATTTTATTTAGTATTTTTTACATCCGCCTGGATTTGTTGGCCACGTGGCGGTCTATGAGCCTGACAGACTCCGTAGGCATCCGAAGAACAAGGACGCGGTGGCGTCCAGGGCCGTCTGTCTAGTGGCCGCGTAATACGCCCACCTCCTTCCTCGGCTCCTTCCTCAGACGCCCGGCTTCCGGCCAGGGGCAGCACCCAGGGCTCAGGCTGGGCCTCTTCCCTTTTCCATGGACTCTCTCTCACCGGGCAATCCCTCTTCACCCCAAGTTCAAATGCCAGCTACATGTTGATGACACCGAAACGGCCACGTGTTGACTAGGGCAGCTGACTCATTTCTCAAACTCAGCACCCAGAGAGAAGTTCCCATTATCCCTCCCCAAACCGGGTCCTTGTCACGCTTCCCACCGACCCTCTGTTCACCCAGAATCCCAGGCGCCACACGTGACCGTGTTCTTTCCCTCACGCCCACACCCAATCCACGAGCAAGTCCTGTCAGCTCTACCCCCACCTTTACCTAAAATCCTCTTACCTATTTTTATTTGCTTTTATCTGTCAACTCTAAGCCTTTTCTAAATATCTGTCGAATGACTGAGCAAACCCTGGAACCACCACAAGGACATCCACGCAGCAAGCGCACGGCCCAGTGTCACACAGGCAGCAAGGCCGGTACGGGTCCAGCCCCATCGCCTCCAGAACCCTCGACCGCGAAATGCCACGTGCCTTTCTCGGCTATGTGCCACGTGCCCAGCACTGGGTCCGAGGGCTGCGACGACCGAGAAGGCGAACAACCACGCAACGCTGCACGGCTCCCAGGGGTTCCCGCTCTTCTCTGGTGAGGACGCTTTATTTTCAGACTCTAAAATATTCCTCAGAGCCCAGGAATGAACTCCTAACAGAGAAAAACCTAACGGGGCCCTGAAATCCGTCTGCTCTCTCACCGTCGCTGGCGGGATGCCACGTTCCCCTTCCGCGGGTCCAGGATGACCGGGATGAGGGCCGGCTCATCCTGTCCTTCACGGTTCTGCTCTGAGGCACTGGCTGGAGCTCAGGGGACCCAGGGACACTTAGAAGATGCCTGCGTCGTTTTGAACGGGAGGCTTGTGTTATCTGGTTTTTAGGGAAGGAGAGCAAATAAGAGCTGGGACAAGCCGAGCTGGGGAGAGAGCGAGTGGCCACGGCTGACACAGGGACCTGAGTGAGGCCGTCATGGGCTGGGAGGGAGAACATGTAGAGCAGGAGGGGGAGCCTGGCAGCTGGCAGCACAAGCTGCGTGCAGCCACAGCATCTGGGACATCTCAAACAGCTGTTATTAGAGGGTGGTTTGTGTATTTTCTGTGTGGAAAATTCCAACGGTGTGTCCTAGGTCCTGGGCTGTGGGGGCAGGGCGTGGTGACGGGAGAGTCTTTGAAGAAGCACGTTGGAGCTGCTGCTCCATCTCTTGGTTCTGAAGTTTGGGTCCTGCCCAAAGGGAGGGGTCTCTGGAGGTTTCCTTTAAAAAGAATGAGGAACTATTCCCTAAAAGAGGCCACAGAGGAACACAGTCTGTGGGGAGGGAGTGGAACATGGTGAAGTGTGGGGAGCCGATACACCTAGAAAGTTCTCTAATTTAAATTCGGGATCTGAGTTAGTGAGCTGAGAGGCCTGAGCACACCTTAGTCGGCATCGCGCTGCCCTTGTGGACTTAACTCTCCTGACCCAGGTGAGGCCTTGAGGTGAGACATCCTGGTAGGCCCAGCACCTACCCATGTGCCAGGCATGTAGCAGACACCCCACAAATACGCTCAGCGAAGGAACAGACACTTCTAATTGCCTTAGTAGCTTTCCAAGTGATCACTGTCCCTGGTTGCCAGGTGGAGACATTGGAAAATGATAATGAAAGATAAGATTTTGGGCGAGCCAGCTGCAGAAGGCAGGGGTCAGTGAAATTTGAATATGTTCAGAGAAGGCTGAGGGTTGGAAGATGGTCACTTGAAGCTAAGAGGGCTGAGTGGACAGCTGTCACTGTGAATCAGCTCAGGGAGAGAGGAGCCTCTGGCCTGCCTTGCTAACCGCCAAGGAGGCAGAGCTGGTTTTATTAATAGCTCCTAGGATGCCACTGGGAGACCCAGAGGCTACGGGGGCAATTCAGGCAGGGGCAGCAAATCTGAACAGTCACCTGAGCTCAGATTCTAAGTGGGGCCAGAAGGTTCCATTAAATGGCTGGAGGAAACATAGTCCAGGAAAAGGAGTTATGGTCCCATTTTGTTAACCCCAAACTCTAAATCGTAATAAAAAGAATATTATTAACGATGATTAAAGCTACCATCCACCGACTGCCTGTTTCATGATTATGCCATTTATCCTTGATAATCGGTCTGCACGAGGCAGGTGCTGTCCCCACATTTCCCAGAGGAGGGGAGCGTGGAGATTGGTGAGGCATTGCCCCCCAGGAAATGCAGGCGCTGAGCTGAGAA